GACTACGTTCCTCCTCATTAAAGGGCCAGAGACCCCGCCAACAGCCCTCTTACCCAGTTCTTTAGTGGTTTTAATTGACAGATTTTAAAGGGATCATGTCATGAGAAATCATCTTGCAAGTTTCATAGTTTAAAACTTCCTCCATTATAAACAAATCATTTAATCAAGCTCCAAAAACAACATGTTTGGATATAGGGGGATCTGTGACGTCACATTTGCAAATACATTTGCATATGCCCGCCTCCAGAGCAAGACATTGACCAATAGTTATACATCATCGCACCTCAGGCCCCGCCCACTGGGGTTCAGCCACTTAATGGCTGAGATTCGCCTATACACTGGAAAATGATATGTTTGAGCATTTTGCATGTAAACGAGGCACAGTGTAATGGAGAGTCACTTAGAAACTTTGGTTACACTTTATTTTAAGGTGTCATTGTTACAATGTAATTATATATTTAAGTACGGAGTAATAGTAGGCAACTACATGTACTTACTCTAGGGTTAGGGTAGGGTTAGGATTTGGTCGAGGGTTAGTTGCATGTAATTATGCATAATTTACTGTTATTACTACGGTAAGTACATGTAACATATGTAACAAGGACACTGTAAAATAAAATGTTAGATGAAGCAGGATCACAAACCGTAAGTAAATGATTTCATAATGCTTTATCTTTAAATGACATTTTTATGTGGATAATATTTCCCAATCACTTTCGCACTGCAACAGAGAGTGGGAGTTGATACTGTCTCTATGCAGTGATGTTAGCCAATCACAACAGTGCGTTTACTGACAAGCCTTAAAGGAGCCGCGCCTTAAAAACGGATCATTCCAGACAGACGGTCAGAATGAGAGTTGAAAATAAAAGTTTTTCCGCATATATATTTGTTTAAACTTTATTAACACTAAGTGAACCTCAAGAAACATTTTAAAACAATGCATATCATCACCCCTTTAATATGGATGGCAACATAGTACAACTTTTATATAGTGTACAAAAGCAATAAAATGTCCATAAATTCAAACCTTACAATCCCGTAAAACCGCCACAAATGTGTGATAGAGTAGATTGTGGATCCGCTACTGTGGTTTCAGTGGCTTTCAGATGATGTCTGACCTTTTATCCCTTTAAAATCTTTACATATTTACTTTGTATCTAAATTCGGTGTCTACAGCCAGCCCACAAATCTACCGGCCCGTGGGGAAAACAGACGGTGCGCCCCATAGATAGTCCACCAGTGATTACTCTACAAGAGACAGCAAAGCATAAATATTTTACCTATTTAAGTTCACAGAGGCAAAGGTTAATTCGCGAGAGGCCCGAAGCTAACCCAGCAGGATTTGTTTGTGCAGAACGCATAGGAGTCTGCTCCTAAATCATCTACAATTGCAGGAGGAATACGGTAAAAAGAGACGAACATCTGGTGCGGCCAAAATAACCCATGCTTTCAGGTAATGGCTAATGAAATTGTGCTTTATTTAACATTTCATCCTGCTGTCATGCTCACTGGCTAAATGTTGACAAGAGCACATTTGGGATGATAAAAGAAGTTGGGAAAAGCCCCCACACTCGCTCACCTGTGCTGTGTTACTTTACATTACCCAGCATGCCCTGAAGGTGCAGCTCACCTCTTTGATGTGAACCCCGACAGCTGGTATTTGTCAAGATGAATGTCCACTTTTTGTCCTTTTAGTTAGAGAGCATTCAAGGAAAGGAAACGCTAAATGGTTCGGTAGGGACACAGATCTAATACGGCAAACTCCAGCTGGGGGCAATTCTGAATCACACACACACACACACACACACACACACCCCGCCACAGAAGGGTCCCGGCAGCTCCAGGATCACATGCTTTCAGAGAGAAGTAGGAAAGTCTGTGCAAATTAGTATGTAGACTATATATGTAAATGCAACTAAGAAGATTAATGGTCTGTCCTTGCATTTAATTTGGCTAACATTTCAGAGAATTTTCACATTTGTGATGTCAGACAAACAGATTATTGGCCAAGCAAATATTGTTGTGACCAGTGTTGGGGTAACTCATTACAGGTAACTTGAGTTATGTAATCAGATTACTTTTTCAAGTAACTAGTAAAGTAACGTATTTCTTTTAAAATTTACAACAAAATATCTGAGTTACTTTTTCAAATAAGTAACGCAAGTTACTTTTTTCCCATTTATTGACTGACAGCTCCTGTCCTCATGTTGAGACAAATCGAAGTGCAGAGGCGTTGTGTGTGTGTGTGTGTGTGTGTGTGTGTGTGAACATGATGGTTATAGTAGTTCTAGACTAAATGTGAGCGTGCATTTACTCATCTCACTTGCACAAAAAAATGATTCAGTATTCCTCAAAATGAATCAAATCAGTGAAATGCAGACTCAGAATACTATGCAAACCTCCAATAACTAAATATGTTAAATAAAGCATACATTTTTATGCATTTAATCTCACTTTATTGACCAATATACTTGCTTCTGACCTTCGATGATTCAGTTAAACCATAAGCAAAAATGACAAAAAAAAATTTTGTTGGTAAAGTGTTACATTTTTCCTCCTGGATCCTCTTCTTCAGTTCTCCAGAAGAACAGCAGCTGAGAGGTTTGTTTGAGCGGCGCCCTCTACTGTACAGGTGTGAATCTGCATTTCCTTCTATGGAAGTAATGGAGTAATAATGCATTACTTTTCAAAAAATGTAATGCAATTAGTTACTTTTTAAGGGAGTAACGCAATATTGTAATGCATTAGTTTTCAAAGTCACTTTCCCCAACACTGGTAGAGACACTCAAAGGGGCCGTTTACACGACACCGTTCTCAACTGCAAACGTTCAACTTTTTATGCGCTTGGCCGTTGATTTACACGACAATGGCGTTTTGGGGGCCTAAAAATGCAAACTTTTGAAGATGGGTTTATAATAATAATCTGTTACATGTATATAGCGCTTTTCTGGGTGCTCAAAGCTCTCTACATGTGGATGGTTTCAAAGTACAAGATACCGTTATTGTCTCTGTCTACAGTACAAAAACACGGATTAGTGAAAACAGTGAAGTCATGCGCATGCGTATTACGTGTTCAGTCTATAGACGTGTAGCGTTTCTTTACAAAGTGGCATCGCCATCTACTGGCCTGGCATGTATAATACAGCGTTTTTGTGGATCCATGTTTTCACGGTAACGCTTCCTTTTACAGTCCTGTTACCCATGTAATTACTATGTACTTATTATAGTAATTATAATTACTGGGTAATAACTAGGTACTAACCCTGAACCTACCCCTAACCCATGTACTTACCTTATATTAGCCAGTACTTTCTAGGTAAGTACACTGTAAGTACACGTAAGTACTGTAAAATGAAGCGTTACCGTTTTCACAATAGCGTCGTCTGTACGTAAAAAATGCAAAGGAAACCTTTTCCGTTTTCAGTACATCATTGTCATGTACATGTACCCAAAGAAACCACATGTGTAAAAGAAGTTTAGCATGTTTTTAAAGAGTCCTTATTACAGAAATATTATAAAATAATGCCCTTCACTGCGAGCTGAATGCAGTGTGCTTCGATAATCAATCGCAGTTCAATTAAAATGTATTACACTTTTTTTATGAAGTCCATACTTATAATGAATTATAGCTCAATTTAAACTTGTTTTTAAGTATGATAAACTTTTGTTTATACGTATTATAAATGTATAGAATAGTAATACTACTTATTATTAAGTATAAATGGGGCTATAATTCGTTATAAGCATGCACTTAATAGAAAGTGTTACCGTTTATTAAATGCAATTAGCTGCTTTTTTATGTTTGCATTTGTGATGAAGTCGCAATTGAGGCCATTTCAAATATATTAACTTTAAATGTAATATTGAATAGGATTATATTCAAGGGCTTGTGCTTTAGTTAGTCAACAAATCAAAACTGATTTTAAAGTGTACTTTTTTAAAGCAAGACAAAAGATTATTAAAACAATGATTTAAAACTATAAAGCAAAAAAAATAATTATTTGACATTGCTAAGTGCACTTTGTTTGCTAAGAAACAGTTATGAAAGTGTTTTCCGTTTAGTTACACTTAAGAGGCATTTTCTTTGATAATATCATCTGATATAAAAAATATCAATCATCTTTAAAAATATGATATGAAGTGCACATTTAATAACTATAAGCACACGTCGAGCTTGCTTACTTACAAAATGTTTTCTTGTCCAGCATAGAACATTTTTGCAAACATAGTGAGTCTTCGAAGTGGTTTACAGGTCGCAGTATATTATATATATATATTTAAAACAAATACGTAATGAAATGACTTCAGAGGTCATGGAAAAGTCATGGCTATTCATTGTCCAAGAAGTGTTGAACCCCGAACATGTTTTGCTATTCTTTATGATTTATCAGCCTCTGCCATGCATGCGAGAAATGCTGATACCTAATAAATGCGTCCGGTTGCATTCCCCCCCGTGAGAGAGAGGCCAGACCCTCTCACGACACACACACACACACCCTCTCACGACACACACCGGCCTCTTACTGAGGACGAGTTCAGCACAAGAGCTTCCTTAAACCTCTCTATTGTGAGCACCTGGGCCAGGAAGAATGGCTCTTTCACAAGTAAATTGCGGCCGGGCTTTACAGAGAGATTTTATAACAGAGCACAGTTGACATTGGCAGGAGAGCCACGGCCGGCCATTGAGAAGCATGAGCTCCGCAGTCACAGGAGATCAATGAAGAGAGCGTATTTCCCTGGAGCTGGAGATTTCCGCTGGGAAGGGGAGCCGAGCGCAGGAACATAAGCAGCTTGTGGTTAGAGCCGAGAATCCCAGCGGGAGCTGTCAGTCTAAAGCCAACAAAATGCTGTGTAACGTCTTCCTCCCTCCCCCTCCTGACATCACTGTGCGCAGGAGGCAGGGATGCGGTCGCCATGGTAACAGCTGAGTCATCCCGAGCCCGTCGAAGCGATGCTGAGAGGCATCGGCGCTCTGATCTCTACAGGTGTCATCCGGGGACAGCGCTGGGCTAGCGGGTCGTGCTAGCCGGATGGGTAACGTCTCCACTGCGGTCAAGCACTGTCTGAGCTATGAGACTTTCCTGCGGGATCATCCCTGGTTGCCACGGCTCCTGTGGGAAGAGAAGGTGGGGGTCTGTTTTTGCAAGATTTATGCATGGAAATATAGCAATGGAGTCGCGTAAAGGAGCAGCTGAGAATGATCTGACCCTCGTGAAACACAGTGTTAGGCAGAAAACTACACATTATATGCAGAATTTGTGCATATATCATTTTTATTCACTTTTCATCTCCATATGAGCTCTCAAATTTTCTTTGTACTTGTGTTTAATCACAAAATGGTGCTTTTCCACAAGTAGGTGCAATGTGACTGTTATTTATGCCAAATGCCATTGTTTCGCACTTCAAAAGTTATGCATTTTCACTGTATAATGACACGGTGGCAGGTCTATACCTAGATGTCATTTACAGGGTTCATCTGGGATTGAAACACTGACATTTTTTAAAAAAAAAGAAAAGATTTTTGATTGTTTTTTTCTCAAGCTGTATTTATAGATTTGTTTAAACCCTACATTTTGATTCAATATTAATTTAAAAAATATTTATTTTCCTAAAGACCAACATTTTTATTCATACTGAGTAAAAATATTATTTATTAAGGCTATACAGTGGGAAAAAAAGTGTGTTGGATTTACACTATTTAAATAATCACAGTTTGTTAATATAACTTCATACATCATCAAATGAAGTTAGTGTTAGGTGATCAAATGAAGTAGTCTCAAGGTCCCCAAGCAGGATTTCATTAATTCAATTAGCTAGCTGGCTGTTTACAAGCAATAGCACATACTGTGTTAGAATACTGAATGCAAAGTCCACAATTTTAAGTATAGTAAGCACTAAGCAGCAATAACATATTCTTTGTGTCCTCAGCCTATATAGAAAACTCTGCAATCACAACAGGATTGAACATTAAACATTATCAAGTCTTCCCCATTTTCTCATCTTACACACACACACGCACACACACACACACACACACACACACACACACACACACACACACACACACACACACACACACACACACACACACACACACACACACACACACACACACACACACACACACACACACACACACACACACACACACACACACACACACACACACACACACACACGGGGACTTTCCAGAGACATAATGATTTTTATACTGTACAGACTGTATATTCTATTCCCTTACCCTAACCCTATCCCTAAACCTACCCATCACAGGAAACATTCTGCATTTTTACATTTTCAAACAAGATCACTTAGTATGATTTATAAGCTGATTTCCTCATGGGGACCAAAAAATGTCCCCACACGAACAAGGATTTCGGATATTGCCATCCTTGTGGGGACATTTTGTCCCCATAACGTAGGGTTTACCAGGCCACACACACACACACACACACACACACACGCACGCACGCACGCACGCACACACACACACACACACTGTTAATCAATAAAGACTGGAATATTCTCTTAGAAAGAACTTAATGTTTATTGTGATGTCTTTTTTATTATGCATCATAATTTCTTTTATGTACTAAAAAAAAAAATTCAATAAACAAATTAAAATATGATGTATAGTCTAGTCAGTATATGTTCTGCACACGGCGTCAAGCAAAAATACTATTTAAACAGAATATTTTAATTTCTTTCTTTCTTTTTATATATATATATATATAGGGAGTGTTACTATTTTTTTTTTATTATATATATATACAAACTGAATAAAACAGGTTTAAACCAGAAAGCATGATTTTCAATTAGACTAATATAAAAATGACGGTCATTTCACTTTTTTCCGATGTTTAAATTTTTTAATTAAGCTTGAAAGTTCCTCTTAAAAACGCAGACCAGAAATGTTTTAAAAAATACAAAAGACAGCTAAAGTTTCTTGGTCTAATTTATTTAGTTGATAAGAAGAAAAAGCTTGATCCATTTCTAGCGAAGCCTGCAATTCTGGCTTGAGCGGCGAGTTAAAAGAGAGCGAGTTTGATTTATGAGTGAATTTAATAGGCTGTCCTAACGGCAGGCCCGGGGTGATAACGGGACAAACCTCATCGCTCCTCCTCCATCTACCCAAGGCACTGTCAGAAACTTCTTACAAAGAACTTTTTTATCGTTCCTTTCACACATCCATTTCCTCCCTCCTCGACAGCACAATTAAACCAAACTCGACTCTAAAGAAACTGTGCGGTTCCTCAAAGCGAGCGTTTCAGTATCAAGAGGCTGAGCTTTTATAGCCATTCAAATCTTCTATAAACACAGCATTGGCCCTTGGTAATGCGACTCACCGAATTCAAAGGTTAAGCTTTGGTTTTACCATTGAAAGAGAGGAAATGCTTGCGACCAGTGCGCATTATGTCATAAATGACCTGGCAAGGATTTGAAGACCAGATTTAAAACATGAAGTTGAACGCACCATTTGACAAAGGAAGTGTCTTAATCCACATCTCAGATTTTCCGTACAGCTCTGTGAAATTGTTATATGGTCCTTCCTTCCTAATTATTTTTCAATTCACAGTGTTCAGAACTGCCTAAGCTTCCACTTCATGTCAAAATTGTGGAGGTTGGACCAAGAGATGGGCTTCAAAATGAGAAGGTAGAGATTTCACACTTCTAAAATGCTTGTAGCATGTGTTTTATTAGCATTCTCCATTCAAATAAAAGACAAATTGAAACATAAACCCAAAGGCATAAATGTATTGAGCAGTTGTGTCATACAGAGAATCACACCCGGTTCACATGATAAAGTCATTGGTGAGCACAAAACATGGTGGCAAGGCAAGGCGTTTATTTATATAGCACATTTCATACACTATGGCAATTCAAAGTGCTTTACAGAAAGGAATTAAAATAATCACAAAATAAAAGCAAGGAAAATGAAAACAGTTATAGATAGATAGATATAGATAGATACATACACTTCTCATCTGGCAAAATGGTGTATCATATTTTTCACAACTCCCAGTTTTACTCTGAGATTTCCCCATGGTGATCACACTGTGTCTGTGGTTCTTTCGGCGTGCCTATAAGACATCTATTGGACGTCTCCAATGGACCCGATTTTCCCCTAAAATCGGACCTGAGGAGCTCTAGGACTGACTCACGGGGTAACCTCGGTTCACTGCCCCATCCGTCCAAACCCCAAAAACCCATTGTTCGAAAGCTCTAGGAATGGAGTCGATCCAGTCCGCACCCCACATAACCTTGAGTTTAATCACGTCAGACTCACTACTCCACCACAGACCCAGGCCATCAGCATGGTTTCACCTCTCAAGTTCCCCACTTAAGTCATTTATGTTCGTCTCTAACCCAATTCTCAGAGGAAACATGATGTACTTCCACCAGATAGCTCATAAATTACATGCTTTATTCTGACACATCTTTAGAATGACTTATCCAACACGGGCTTATTGGAAAAATGCGCCTCTACCTTCATTTTTGCATTCGATACACTACGCATTTTACATTATAACCTTAAAACACTTTTACCGTGATGCAATGATTTGTAAACTAATAGCTTTTGACAGTTGTATCACAGAACCAGCTCTAAATGTATGGATTTTCTAACAGAGTAAACTTGCTCAGTAGCTCACCTGGTACAGGCATGCGGATCACTCGGTGTGAGTCTCAGAAAGTCCCCATAAAAGTGCTCAAAGCTAATATGGCATGGTTACTTCAGCAAATGTGTTTTTATCGCATGTTTTCTATTGGTTAGGTTTAGTGTACACTCTTAGAAATAAAGGTTACAAAAGGGGGTTTTCATGACAAGAACCAATTTTTGGTTCCACAAGAAACCTTTCTGTCAACATTTCTTAAAAGAACCATTTTTTTTCATAGTGAAGAACATCTTGAATAACCTTTTTCTACTTTAAAGAACTTTTTGTGCATTGGAAAGGTTCTATGGATGTTCTTTATGGATCCATGACTGTCAGAGAAAGTTACTTGTTAAAGTAATGCTTTACAATATTTTTTTTCTCCATAAAAAAGTAACTAATTACGTTACTTAGTTACTTTTTATGGTAATATGTTAAATTACTTTTGCGTTACTTTTTCTCACCTTGGCTGGGCTTGCTTGTTTCTTTTTTAATAACAACAAAAAAAGTTATATTTTTGGTAGTGCTGTCAAACGATTAAAATATTTAATCGCGATTAATCGCATTAATGTCATAGTTAACTCGCGATTAATCACACATTTGTATTTATTCTAAATGACTCTTGATTTATTTTTGTCCCATTGTTTTTTCTCATTTTAATGCTCTTATCAACATGGAAAAGTGGATCGGCTGGCTTTGTGCAAATGTTTTTTATTGAAAACAACATTGGCGTATACTGTGTTCAATTTCACACTAACATTCTCACTTGGAGCAAATAATCTCTCACACAATGTAACACTGTCCATCAATAAAAGGGTGAAAGAAATACTGACGAGGTCCTGATATTGACGAGGGGGCGGAGAATTCGCATCAGCTGTGTGTGTGTGTGTGTGTGTGTGTGTGCTTGGCCATCATCAAGTGGTATTTCAGACTGGACGTGCTGCGATGATGATCAGTTCACAACGACAAAACACACAGATCACTTTGGTCTCGTCAATGGAACCATTTGGCAACTTTTTAAAAGTAAACTTTCAATTCAGAATCTTATTGGTATCCATTTCGGCGCATGCTGCGTCCTGTTGCAAAAGCATGTGAAAAAAACTACAAAGTTTGCTAGGCCAAATAGACCGTTATTCGCGCGATAAAAAAATTAACGCCGTTAAAATGGGTTTGCGTTAACGCCGTTAATAACGCGTTTAACTGACAGCCCTAATTTTTGGCAAATGTAAAGGCCCTTTCACACCAAAAGTTAAATGAATAAGCCAGGCTGAAGGAAATGCAAATTCACAGCTATACAGTAGAGGGCGCAGTAAAAAAAAAAAAACTTGAACGGTTCTGCTATTCTGGATTGAAGAAGAATATGATGCAGGAGAAGAAAGTTCAACAAACTTACTTCAGTAATCCATTTTTTTTAAATGAAACACAAATGTGATGTTTATCTAACTTCATTTTTGCTTATTAGTATGATTGAAGTGGATCATCGAAGGCCAGCAGAAAAGACATTGTTAATAAAGTGAGATTAAGTACATAAAGTATATTAGTGTAATTTAATATATTTAATTAGGTTTGCATAATATTCTGAGATTGCATTTCACTGTTTTTATTCATTTTGAGTAATACTGTTTTTGTTTTTTTTTGCAAGTGAGATGAGTAAATGCCAGCTCTCATTTAGTCTAGAACTACTATAGCAATCATGTTCACACACAACGCCTCTGTACTTACTCACGATCCTCTCCACATGGGGACAAGCTGTCCGTCTATACATGGGCAAACAAAGTCACTTGCGTTACTTATTTGAAAATGTAACTCAAGATATTTTGTTGTAAATCTTAAAGTATTGCGTTACTAGTTACTTGAAAAAAGTAATCTGATTACATAACTCAAGTTACTTGTAATGCGATACCGGGAACACTGGGAACCATGGATGCAAATATAGAACTTTTACTTTTAAGACTGTAGGGTTTAATGTAGGTTGTCTCTTTTTAAATGTGATAAAGCATTAACATTTCATTTCTAAACTGCTGTGAATGTATGTTGGTACAACAACCAATATACTAAATATAAATTTGTATGTGCACTTATAAAAATGAACATGCTTATAAACATCTTTCACTGGATATTTCACTGTGAAAATGTTGTGAATGGGCATGAAGCAATGAAGTATCATTTTTCAGAAATGTTGCCACAGGCATGTTTTTCCATTGAGCCTGGTTTGAGTTTAGTAGGTACAGTACTGTCCTATTGTATATATTCACAGAAAAACGATTCATTCAGTTATAGTGGCAAATAAATTATTCATCTCAATAGTGTGGTGCTGTTGAGGCTCACAGATGTGCACGCTCCCTGGATGTGTTCATAGAAACCCAAGACTTTTGTGTCATTGTGTTTCTGCAGGAAATAGTGCCGACAGAAGTCAAAATCCAGCTGATAGACATGCTCTCTCAGACCGGTCTGCCTGTCATCGAAGCCACTAGCTTTGTGTCTTCAAAGTGGGTTGCTCAGGTAATAAGGTGCAACCGTGATCCTCGGGACCGTGTTGGCATTTTGGCTTTTCTATCCGCACAAAAGCACCAGTTAAAAAAACTGCATTTGTGGGATAAAGTTTGAGCATAATTTCTTGTCGGTTTGTTTTTCAGATGGCAGACCACAGTGCAGTGTTGAAAGGGATTAAAAGGTCTCCTGACGTAAGATACCCGGTTCTGACTCCCAATATTCAGGGCTTCCAGGCAGCTGTAAGTAAATATTTGCATCATTTACATTTATTTACAAGTGACATTTCCAATTTACCTTCCATGCCAGGTCAATGATGTTTTTCGTGTATAATAAACCACTTTATTTATGCATGCGCTCTGCCTACGCTTCCACTGCCCCTTTACCTTGCATAAGTGAACAACCTTTGCATCTTGTACCATTTATTTGTAAATGTTTACCCCATTTCTGTTAATTGCTTTCCTTGCTAATCAAGCAAGTTGTACTCACAAGCCAACATCTATAAGCACAGACTTGATTAAATGTTTCCTGTTAAAGGTTGCAGCAGGAGCTACTGAAGTGGCAGTGTTTGGTTCTGCCTCGGAGACTTTTAGCTGGAAGAACATCAACTGCTCTATAGAGGAGAGTCTGCAGAGGTTCGAGCAGGTCATCTCCGCAGCCAAACACGAAGGCATTCCAGTGCGCGGGTGTGTTCAGTGGACACCAGCTTCCTTCTAAGTATTTAGGCCAGTGCTCATTATGTGAACTTCCACTTTGACACTAACATCGAAAGCAAATCAGGGGTGTGTTTCCAGTAAAACAACATAACTCACCACCATAACGTAGCCTGACTGCGTCAGACTTCGTACTTCTGCTCAATTTCAGTTCGCTTCTGTACTCAGTCTGAGATATCTCTCAGTTTTCCTCCGGCCTGAAAACAGCCGGCCAATCAACGAACAGAGGGCGGGCTGAGAACCGTGACGTAGAAGCTAAGCGCCGAGTTTAAGATTGTATTTTAGGTCAGGGAAATCGAAAACGGCCGCGGATATGGAGATACGGGATGCAATTCGCTCTGTTGTGGAGAATATTCCCGGCATTTGCAAACTGAAGCCCGAACAAGAAGAGTATTTGTTAAACATTTTGAATGGAGGTGGCTTACGGGTAACCAATGATTTTATACTTCAGACAAGCTGCCCCTGCGAGAAAGAAAACACTTTCAATTATGCTATTCCAGACTCTGTCTACGAAGCAAAGCGAAGTAGCAGAGTTTGGTATTACCAGGATAACCATAAGGGGCTTTCGCACCAGATAGTTTTAAGAACTTAGTTCTAGGAACTAACCACCAGGGTGTTTCCCTGAGAACTAACGGTTCCCATAGGAACCTTTTCCCGTTGCATTCGCACCGGCAGTATGAACTCTGAAGTGACGTAAGCCGCGCTCATTGTTGTGACTTTTATTTTGATAAATTTGCGGTGCTGTTTGTGAATGTTTGTTAGAACTATGGTTTTGGGACCGACTCGTTGAACTATGCTGATAACGACGGAACTTGCGACCAAAGTTGGCTAACGATGCTTTTGGGAAACATACCCCTGGTCAGCATTCGTCAGGTACTGATTCTGATCCAGGTAATGATCAAGGAATGTGTTTAAATTAGTTCCAAATGTAGGTTCGGGAGAAGCCTAATCATTCAGTTCTGTCCATCATAATTACAAGCGTATATAATTATTGCTCCGTCCCAGCGATAATTCTTCTGGCATCCCTCCACGACCCCATCTCCTCCTCTATTTCTCTCATTCTCCCTCTACGTAGTACTGTTAAAGGGGGGTTGAGCTCTGAGCTTGAACCGAGCCTCAGATTCAAGCCTCCTTCGAGGATAGAAAGCCAAATTTGTTTACCATTAACTATTAAGAATGGATGAGCAGGCTTGTGAAACTTGTGAAACAAAAAAAAGGGGGGGGGATTTCGAGTAGATAAAGGATCAGTAGCTTGTTGGAAATTTTTTCCTTCGACGAAGCAGAGACCAGGAGACGTTGGGATATATTTCAAGCAGAAGTTATTCTTTATTGAGGACTTCGCTGTGCGTTACTGTAGTCATCCTAGTCTGACTAAGGGAACTTTACATTGTAGTTTATATACATTTAGAGGGCAGTGCTTAGAAATGGAGACAAAGCACCTGGGTGACGACCTTAAACAAAGCATGCAAATGAAGTATACAGGTTTAGGAACCTGCCCTAGACTCTAGAGTGTTACCAATCCTAATCCAATTAGCATAACTATTCAAATGCATAGATGATAATCCAATCAGCCTAACTATTCAACGACTGGGGCTGGGGCTCCAAGAGCCATTAAAGACGAAGGGTGAGAGTCTCAGTAATCTGACTCATTTAACTTACAATAGAGAGAACAGGACTGGCAGGAATCTCTTGCTGGAAAACTCTGTTTAACAGCTGATATAATCATCATCTATACCTCAAATGCTAAATTCAATCTACTCTACTTACTCAGTTTATATACGATTGTATTGAACCTAGATTTAGCAATTTATAAATTTGTAATACAACAAGCTGTGTAGTGGATTTCAGCCTATTTTAGGACTAATCATGAGTCGACTAATACGGCATTGATCTCATTCTGATTTTGGGGGAATATCTAGGGGCACAGATTAAACATGGTAGATGCATCAACCAGAGCATTCATATTGAACATAATCAAAGTTTCCAGAATTTGTAATAAATGAAAGTGCAAGGGATGTGAAGAACTTTGCATTTTTCGCAGAAATAAAGTTCTCTGCAGATTTCTTTCAGAGTCTGTCTTCCATAAGCTGCCAACACTGTACTCCACAGGGATAGTCACCTGTACTGAGACACTACTTAACATTTGTTTATATGAGCAATTCTGTTACTCAATTTATTCAATTTACTCAATTCAATTTATTCTGGAAATTCATCTTTGATCATTTCAGCAACCAAACAGGAAGACCCAGTATTTCCTTTGAGGACTAAGCTAGTGTTCATTACGTGCACTTTAACGCTAATTTTGAATGAGAATCAGCACAACAATCTGCCAATGATACAAACGCCAATGCAGAAACTGGTTGTCTGGAATAAAGGATAGAAAGGATGTTGTAGATTTTAGTTACTCAAAGCAAAGAATGATCTGGACTGGTAAAGGAATGACTGTAGGCAAGACTGTAAACTCATAATCAGTAGAAGAGATAATGCAACAGCTAAAACCAGAATTGACTATCTCTGCTGAAAAATCCAGCACTGCTGGTCACCATCATAAGGTATGTTTGGCATGGGATGCTGGTTTGCTGGTTTCCAGCATGGGAAGTGGGACCGTTGGCGGAGCAGCTACACCAGCTCAGTGTTGATTGAGAACAGACTATACTGGTCCATCAGCTAGACCAGCACTATACCAGCTCTAACCAGCATGAACCAACCTGGACCAACATGGAATTCATGCAGGATTTGTCAGCAGGTTTTGAAAACCTCCTTGGAGGAACTTTGAAAATGGCATGTTTTCAAAATTGGCAGAGCTTTTTGTGTACACCATTAATCAAAGGGGTGGTTTGGCAAACTGACGGTCTGGAGTAGTTACTGGATAGCTGTAGGTTTGACCCTTGCTCACTTGATTGTATGTTCTGCAATGCTGATTGTTATAATTTTCCTCCAAAATCGTAATTCCTATTAGTAACTGAATGCTTCATAAATTAAGCAACATATAATGACACTTGATACAGATGATTGTCTCTGTGCTGAATAACTACTGGAGTACAGACATTTTCAGGAGCCATTCGTTATATAAGCAAGTTCCTTTGGTTTAACCAGCGGTTTCTTTTATTGTTGTACTTATATTTTTGGACTGTTCTCCTTTGAGGTTTTGAGATGGGGCACCAGAGCAGCATGAGATTATTCCAGAATTAATGAGTAAATAATTCAAGTTCCAGATGTGCATGCAGTGTGGTGCTTTGTATCAGTTACAAGTACAAGTCCAGATGTGTGCAGAGTTTTTAGCCTCTGCTTTTTACGGAATCAAAAACGACGGAGAGCAGTCACTTCAGTCTGACGAACTCTTTCTGGCAAATGTGACTCGACGCCTAATGTTCAAGAAGAGACTCCACGGAAATCCTGGTAGCACACAGAAGTATCGTCTGACGACCACAAGCCCAAGAGAAACATTTTCAACTTTTCACTTATTTGTTCACTGTTTCTAGCAGAACATGTTTCCGTCACATATGGAAAGCACATATAGCTTGTACGTTGCTCTCCACCATTTCTCATTCCTACTGTCAACACTATTGGTACTATTTGTCACAACCGTTTGGCACCGACCATATGTTTAGCCTGCTGCTGAACATTTTGTATTATTTCGTGATAGATGTAATCCGTTGCAAGAGCAGTTCTGGCCGCTGTGGACTGTTCTACTTGCGGTTGCAGTGAAACAGCACTTGGCGTTATTTCCCCTATGTTGCATGACTGTTTGTATTGTCAAACCACAAGAGCACGAAGCTGTATATCCTACAACTGCTGAACTTCACCTCTCACAGTTCTTTCTCTTCTTTCCAGGTACGTTTCCTGTGCTCTCGGCTGTCCGTATGAGGGACAAGTAAATCCGTCACAAGTCACAAAGGTATTGACGTTGCATCGGTCAGTCCGAATAGAATTGTTCAGTGTATAACAGCCCGAAGCGAAATTAAATGGGCCTTCCAGTATGTGATCAATCTCACTGGGTGTTGAGCTCTCAGCATATTTTTTTCTTCCCACAATTTTCATAGTCCCACAAGGCCCTTATTACGATGTTTGCTAAAAAACCTGCATGACGCTTGAAACACGGCAGTGCTTTTCTACCGCTCAGAATGAGCTCTCTGTGTGCAGGCCTACATGTTGTTTATATTTCCAGAGGGGATAGTGTTTTCATGGCTTTCCTCTGTTCCGGCCCAGGTGGCAAAGCGGTTGTTTGAGCTGGGCTGTTATGAGGTATCCCTGGGGGACACCATTGGCGTAGGAACCGCGGGCTCCATGGCCAAGATGCTGAGCGATGTGTTGACAGAGGTGCCCGTCGACGCACTGGCGGTGCACTGCCACGACACTTACGGTCAAGCGCTGCCCAACATTCTCATTGCTTTGCAGGTGAGGTGCTCACAATCATGAGGCGCCTTGTTCATACATGCACACGGGATTTGGGAGAAGGGGATATTGTAAAAAAAAAACCCATCATATACAGTCAAACCTAAATTTATTCAGACACCTTCAACATTTCTCACATTATCACAGTTTATTGGCAATAGTATATGGTAATAAAATATGACGAGTTATCAAATCAGTTGATATTTCACTGGTTTTGTCCGTCCTTCTGTTAGACTCTCACAGATGAATAATGTTGAATATCTGTCAGCTGTTAAATTACACAATTAGATAATACCAGTTTAGCTCAACCAATTACCAAGCAATGCTTAATTTTGTTCAGTCTGTGGTGTAAAAAGGTTGCATTAGCAAAACATGGTCAGGTCAAAGTGTCTGAATAATTTTTGGTCCCCAATTTTTATACATTTTACTGGTAGTCTCTGAATGAAGAATTTCTGGGTATAATATATAATGTATATAATAATGTCACAGTTTACTTTATTTTGCTATCCTCACTTAAATGAACTATAGTGTCCTGCACCCACTAGTAAACATATAACAAATTATACCTGGTGTCTGAATAATTTTTGGTTTGACTGTATGTCACCTGTATAGTCATATATCACAATAAAACAGCATATGCTATCAGCCTGACAACTGTATCAGGCTTTATCAGACTTTGAATGCATACATATCCTGCTACGCAAGCACGATTTCACCCAATGTTGCGGTTTGAACACAATTCATGATGCAACAATCACAAATCACATTATCACTATGCCATGGGCAATATAGAAGGAAATTGTTTTCTTCTATTGTCAGTTTGACAACGGTGAATACTACACTTTATAGCGCAACACAAGTACATATTGCAATATTAATGTTGCCGCAAGGGATGTTACAACAACCCAATAAAACATACAGTTTAATAGCACAGGCATTTGAAGGTAACTGTTGCCCTGAGTAGTGAATTTGTTAGTGCCACAAAAATGTAAGGATCACAAAATATGTATGTGAATGGCAATGCATTGGTAACACATTCACATCTGCCTTTGTGTAATCGTGCACTTGTGTAATCACAACTATTTAAAATCACTGTCAGAGCATATCATTTCAGACTTAAATACAAAAGAAATCTCAAGGCATGCATTTGGATCTATGCAGCTAACAAAAATAATATGTTCTAAGAATGAGTTCTGATGTTCCCATTAAATTAGGAAAACGTTGTTTCTGAATGTTCTCTGAACGTTCAAATCGTACTGTTTTTTAAATGTTTTAAAAATGCGAACGTTAAGGGAACATTCAATTTTATAATTTAGCGAACATCATGAGAACATTACTTTTGGACGTTCTCTGAACATTCTGAAACAAAAATAAAACTGTAATGTTTCAGGAAAAAGATAATCTATAATTGACTAAACATTTTATTAACCTGTTCATAACTGTTCATAGAGAACCTTGCAGCACGTTAGCCACAGAACGTTCCATGTTAGTTGGGAAGTAATAAAGAAACTTGAACCACAAGTTCACAGTCTCTCACCACCTTACCTCACATACACACACAGCACTCCAGGGAGCATAACAAAAACTACTGAACAACAGCGATTAAACACTTTTTTTGTACTTTCACCCAAAAAAAAGCACAGAACAACAACAACAGATACCACCCAAAATATGCTTACACAACACTGCCAGGCGTATTTGAATGTGTCGACTATACGCTTTTATGAGACAATTGCTTCCTGTGGTTTAATTTTCATGAACCTTAAACCACAGAGCGCGGTCGAAATTCAGAAATAACACTGGCATGGCTTTATCAGCTCTCCAGGGCCCTTTGTGAACTCTTTCTGAGTTTGTCTTCCCTCGCAGAACGCCAATGCTCTTTGGGGGCTGGGCGGGTCAGCAGATGTGAAGGGGTGGACACAAAGGCTTACCTATTAGATGTCTGTTTCATATGACAGTGGCTTGGCCCTTGACAAAGCCCACGAGATGGAGGCTAGAGCGGGGCCCTCGGGGGCTCAAACTCATCTGTCGCTAGGGCCGTTGAACTCTGTGACAATGCTGCGCTTAAAGGGCAAGGGGAAAATTATCCTTTCATCACTCGCTACTAAACAGAGGGAGACTGGGGAAAAGGAAAACCCCATGCTCTAGTATATTCCATCCTTGGCTCCCACCCCTTTTTAGCCGGACTGTTTATCCGTCTCTTTCCAGCTGTAACGGTGTAATCCTAACTGAGGTCGGTGCGCCACAGAAATGCCCATGAATTTCCTTCACTTTTTTTCTGTGAGTTGTGTGGCATGACAGGGGTCCTTTTTCAAAAGACATGAAAATGAGCGATGAAACCCCACCAACTGAAAACAAAGCACTCCGAAACCCACACTTGATTAACTTCATCTTTAACTCTCTGGCTGTCTGTTTGTTTTTAATGTTTTGTAGAAAAAAGGAGGTTGGTTACGGAATTCAAACTACTTTATTTTTTTATTTTTTATTAATATAAAACAAACTTTGTTTTAGTTAATGTTAAATGCAGTTATGGACGTAGTTTGCTATATACTCAAAACTGACAGTGTTTAACAGGCAAACGTCTTTTTGAAAAAATAGTTAACTACACTGCAAGGCACTCTGTTCTAGTTTAATGCTGTCTTTGTTCTCTATATTGTATAACTGCATAGATCATAAAGATACTGATTGCCCCCTTAGAGCTTAAAGGGTTAGTTCACCCAAAAATAAAAATTCTGTCATCATTTACTCACCCTCATGTCGTTCCAAACCTGTAAGACTCAAAACAAATGAAGATATTTGAATGAAAACTGAGAGATTTCTGATCCTCCATTGACAGCTACCCAACTACCACTTTGATGCTTCAAAAAGTTCATAAAGAGATCGTAAAAATAATCCATATGAATTGAGCGGTTTAGTCTGCTCACTTTATGTGATGAACAGATTAAATTTAGGCTTTTATTCACATATTCATCAACGAACACATCAGTTATGATAAATGGAAGCTCAATCTAGCTTGCTTGGCGTGCAAGAACCAATGAGGTTCATTCTCGTGTTACGCAGCACGTTTGAGCTTCTGCAAGAACCAATGAGGTTCATTCTCGTGTAACACGAGAACGAATACTGCGTAACGCAGCACGTTTGAGCTTCAGCAACAACCAATGAGGTTCATTCTAGTGTTACGCAGCACGTTTGAGCTTCAGCAAGAACCAATGAGGTTCATTCTTGTGTTACGCAGCACGTTTGAGCTTCTGCAAGAACCAATGAGGTTCGTTCTAGTGTTACGCAACACGTTTGAGCTTCAGCAAGAACCAATGAGGTTCATTCTCGTGTTACGCAGCACGTTTGAGCTTCAGCAAGAACCAATGAGGTTCGTTCTCGTGTTACACAGCACGTTTGAGCTTCAGCAACAACCAATGAGGTTCATTCTCGTGTTACGCAGCACGTTTGAGCTTCAGCAACAACCAATGAGATTAATTCTCATGTTACGCAGCACGTTTGAGCTTCAGCAAGAACCAATGAGGTTCATTCTCGTGTTACGCAGCACGTTTGAGCTTCAGCAAGAACCAATGAGGTTCATTCTTGTGTTACGCAGCACGTTTGAGCTTCAGCAAGAACCAATGAGGTTCATTCTCGTGTTACGCAGCACGTTTGAGCTTCTGCAAGAACCAATGAGGTTCATTCTAGTGTTACGCAGCACGTTTGAGCTTCAGCAAGAACCAATGAGGTTCATTCTCGTGTTACGCGGCACATTTGAGCTTCTGCAAGAACCAATGAGGTTCATTCTAGTGTTACGCAGCACGTTTGAGCTTCTGCAAGAACCAATGAGGTTCATTCTGGTGTTACGCGGCACATTTGAGCTTCTGCAAGAACCAATGAGGTTCATTCTAGTGTTACGCAGCACGTTTGAGCTTCAGCAAGAACCAATGAGGTTCATTCTTGTGTTACGCAGCACGTTTGAGCTTCTGCAAGAACCAATGAGGTTCATTCTCGTGTTACGCAGCACGTTTGAGCTTCAGCAAGAACCAATGAGATTAATTCTCGTGTTACGCAGCACGTTTGAGCTTCTGCAAGAACCAATGATGTTCAGTCTTGTGTTACGCAGCACGTTTGAGCTTCAGCAAGAACCAATGAGGTTCATTCTTGTGTTACGCAGCACGTTTGAGCTTCTGCAAGAACCAATGATGTTCAGTCTTGTGTTACGCAGCACGTTTGAGCTTCAGCAAGAACCAATGAGGTTCATTCTTGTGTTACGCAGCACGTTTGAGCTTCTGCAAGAACCAATGATGTTCAGTCTTGTGTTACGCAGCACGTTTGAGCTTCAGCAAGAACCAATGAGGTTCATTCTTGTGTTACGCAGCACGTTTGAGCTTCTGCAAGAACCAATGAGGTTCATTCTCGTGTTACGCAACACGTTTGAGCTTCTGCAAGAACCAATGATGTTCAGTCTTGTGTTACGCAGCACGTTTGAGCTTCAGCAAGAACCAATGAGGTTCATTCTTGTGTTACGCAGCACGTTTGAGCTTCTGCAAGAACCAATGAGATTCATTCTCGTGTTACGCATCACGTTTGAGCTTCTGCAAGAACCAATGAGGTTCATTCTTGTGTTACGCAGCACGTTTGAGCTTCAGCAAGAACCAATGAGGTTCATTCTCGTGTTACGCAGCACGTTTGAGCTTCAGCAAGAACCAATGAGGTTCATTCTTGTGTTACGCAGCACGTTTGAGCTTCTGCAAGAACCAATGAGGTTCATTCTCGTGTTACGCAGCACCTTTGAGCTTCAGCAAGAACCAATGAGATTAATTCTCGTGTTACGCAGCACGTTTGAGCTTCAGCAAGAACCAATGAGGTTCATTCTTGTGTTACGCAGCACGTTTGAGCTTCTGCAAGAACCAATGATGTTCATTCTCGTGTTACGCAGCACCTTTGAGCTTCAGCAAGAACCAATGAGATTAATTCTCGTGTTACGCAGCACGTTTGAGCTTCAGCAAGAACCAATGAGGTTC